GATAACTTTACTTAAGAGCTGGATATCAATTTACTTAGTAAGTTTTCAAGAAAATGTCGCAAGAAAATTTTTTCCTTTTGTTTCTAATTTGGTAAAGTGATCTATGAGAAGAGTTCTAATTTTTGCAATTTTTGTTTTATATAAAAGTATTAAAATAATCAAACAATTTAGATATTAAGTTAATAAATTTAACTTTTTATCAAACAATGCAAAATTACTTTTCAAATAATACAGTAAGACCTCTATAAGTGCACACTCTATAAATGCATGCCCCATGTAAATTCTTTCTAAATGCACAGTATAGCTTAGCCCCAACTTATAAAAGCACTATATATTTTGTTTTCTATAAATGCACACTCTCTTTAAGTGTATATTTTGCTTTTTTTTACTATGGTCCTGAGAGAGTATACTTATAGAGGTTTTACTGTAGATAAAAGAAGAAAATAAAATATATAGCATGTCTGAAATATGTGCCAGGTTTGTGGCACAACTGTAGCTCATATTACTTAAATTATGAATCAGATTTCACAATCAGATATAACATAACATAAACAGAAAAATTCAAAACAAAGCATTCATTTGACAAAAATTACTTATTTCTTGAAAATCATTATAAGAAACCACCTTTAGTGTTCTAACAAAAAGTTTTTATTAGGCAATTTTACTATATAAACCTACTTTTTTAACCCTAGCTCTAACTTATATCCTAACATTAAAGGATTTTTGCTATATTACAAACCTGGCACACATTTCATATATGCAAATATATATAAAAATTATATATCTTCTATCTGAAATTAATAAAAATAAACTATATAAAGTATTTATTTAACAATTATTTTTGACAATTATTTGAACCAAATCTTCTATAAAAAAAAAAGCTTAGTTTTTTTTACTAGAGAGTGAGCCAGACCTATAGCAGGTAAAAAACAGGATAGTTTTTATAAAGATCAACCTTTTTTCTGTTTTGGAGAGACTTTTTTATATATTTGACATGTAAGCTAAAAGCATCTTTATATAAGATAACTGGCAAGAGGTAGTGGCTTTGTATATAAAATTTTGGTAAAAATGTAAACCAGTTTTTTGCTAATAAAGTTATCTGTTGCAAAACAGCTAGGAAATAATAAAAAATATACTTTTTTAATCACACTTCTTTTATTTAGTTAAGTAGGTTTTTTATTACTTACTTTTGTTTCTCTGCTAGTCTTTTGAAAATTTTATAAAAAGTAGAAATTTGGCTTATCCTCTTTAAAAGATTAATATTGTTTATTTTCAAATTTAGACAAACTCAGTAGATTGCAACTATATATCATATTTATTTACAAATATAATGCTATTTTATGTGATATGAATTAGAGTCTTAAGTTAAAAAGATATCTGAAGTTGATTGTAAATTAGAGAGTAACAAAATAATAAAACAAAGCTTTATAACAGAAATATACAAATATTATATTTGTTATATAATTTTTATATTTATCTAATATGGGTTATAATAGTGCATTTATCATAGATTGTTTTCTTTTTTTTTCTTTTTACCTTTTTTTTTCTTTTCTTTTGTTATTATTTGGTTTTCACTTAGATAGTGTTGTATCTCTCCTATTTTGAAAAACTTTTTTTTTTTCTTTCATTTTAAAGTTTTTTTTATAAAGTACAAGTTACTCTCGTTATAGCAGAGATGGTAAATGACCTTCAAATGGCCTTCAAATGACCTCAAAACGACCTCAAACGACCTTAATTTTATTATAAATTTTGGTCGGAAATGACCTTGGTCATTTGAAAAAAAGGCAAATGACCTCAAATTTTACCATCTCTGCGTTATAGTGAACTCTCGATATAAGTATAGTGAAGAACAGTTTATATAAAAGTCCACTCGAAATAGCGAATTTACTCAAAATTTACTAATAGGCTCTCGATATAGTAAAGAAAATTTCACAGCCCGTTCACTTTACTATAACGAGAGTGACTTGTATACGAATTTTATAATTATACTGTAAAACTTTTACATAAAAACTTAGTAAAGCAATAATTTATAATTGCAAGTATGGTTTAAAAATTGGTTACAATCATAATAGTGTAAACAATATTATCGTTTAACATTATATAAGTATCACCACAAAAGAATATAAGACCCAGATATATACACCGTGATTATAAATGATGACCCAAATGACAAATGGCCAGTCATTAGGTCATTACAAAAATCAAATGACCTGGTAAGGCTGTTTTAAATATTATAATTTTATTTGTAAAGATGTGATTGGCTTAGAGATTGGGCCTGGCACAAAATTTAAGTTCTCTCGTATACAAACTGAGTCATTTCTAATGACCCGGATAACTGGGTGACCCAGTTATCATGTATGAATTGACCAATCTAATGCCGATACTACTTAAGTTTAAATAGTCTACTTTTGATGGCAAATATCATTATCCAGCATGAACCGGTTCTTAGCAACATATCCATATGACTATTTCCCTACAACTCTGCTGTCTTGTTAATGACTTTGTATTTACTACTATTCATTATTTATTTTTGACTAGTCAATAACGGTCGCTTGTAAGATAAATAGAAATATTTAAGGTTCATTTAATTTTCCTGTGTTGATTTAGCCTGAGTATAACGATGATATCAAAATATACCTGGGACCCAGGTAATAATGTTATACGGGTCACCTGACCTGGGAGACTTACAATCTCCACGCAGAATCTATCAAGCATTACACAGGTTTTCGTGACCAATAGGATGACCTTATGACTCGAATGACCCTGGTCATTTGGTTTATGAGTCATTTTCAAATGTCCAAAATTCGAATGACTCATTTTGAGATCATTTGAAAAATCAGCAAATGACCAGGTCATTTACCATCACTGTCCTATTTCTTACCCGGGTATAACTATACTAGGGTAATGCATTATACGAAATTTTCTATCGCTATGCGATAAAGTCATGATTATGAGTATATATATGCTATTTCGGTAGCCATAGTCCGGGGCACATGATAATTATCTATAACTCAAACGCGTAAGTATGCATATTTTTTGTTACAAATACATACGCGCGTGACCGGCCAAATTGCTTTTCTGATTTTTCTATACGATAAAAGGTCATATTTATGAGTATATATATGCTATCGCAGATTTCGGTGGCCATATTCCGGGAGCACATGATAATTATCTTATAACTCAAACGCGTGAGTGTGCATATTTTTGTTACAAATACATACGCGCGTGACCAGCAAAAAATTTCCAAATTACTTTTCTGATTAGATCTTCATAATGCTTATGCAGAGGCATCAAAAAGGTAACCATTTTTGGTCGAAATGAATCAAACTGTAATTTTTCATGTACTGTACGTACGTTAAATTCCGTCGCTACACTCTGAACAATTATTTTTCATATGAATCCTCCAAATATGGCACAAAGTACGCCCAAGTACTTGAATAAGACTCTGGATACTAATGCTAAGGTTTCAGATTGAGACTTGAATATCTTGAACTCATTAAGGATCACTTTTAAAGAGGATTTTCTGATGAAACAAGGAGTGAATTAGTTTGATCTACATTAGTATATTATTAATGAAACTTCTAGAAAATTTACTTTTTGTTACGCATAAAAAATTCAATCTTTTAGTCTATTAAAAATTTCGGAGTAAAAACATTACAATTGGTTTTTTTCTCTATGAATATGACTTCTAAACGAATGCTTTATGCTTATTCTTTCTCAATGTGACCTTTGCATTAATCAAAATAAGTATTTTATTCTAAATTAGCTTTAATAGAAATAAGAAAATTCATTTAAATCGATTCTTTATGAAAACAATTGATAAGATGCAAACTGTAATACATGGCTGGGTACAAAACATGATGCGGGATATTCCGGCATATTGTGAAAATTCCAGCAAGGGAGTACATAATCTAAACTGCGGAATATGCCCAAAAACTTTTTAAGGTCATTTTGAAACTCAATTGTTTGACAATCTATTTTTTGACAATTGCATTATCGATTAGCATGTCTTGGGCCAATGGGCTCAATGCAGATGACCAATTTTACCGATTATCCCATATGAAAATGTTTGATGTATCACACAAGGCAACGAATAATTGAAATTGTACGACTTACATCATAACCCCACGTTTTTCTTAACAATAGCTAAATACAAAAATAGAGCTGACGTACGTTGACGTATTGAAAAAATTTAATGAAAAAGGAATATTATTTATTTTATTTTTAGATGAAGATACAAAAAGTAAATAAAGGGGTATAAATAGAAATTGCTAACCAGTTAAAGCTTGTATTACTTTATCACTATCCTTTTTAATTAATTACATTTAGTTAAATTAAAGTATTGAAGTCAGCGTTGAAACCCTTTTAAGAACTCCCTCGTTAGAAAAATTCATTTAATTTTTGTTTTTTTTTCATAAAGAATATGGTTAAATCTCGTTTGGTAAAGCTTTCTTTCATACAATTACATAATTTTTATGATAATATCTAAAGGAGTATGTTTAAATAATGATCGATATTTAATGATATAGTATTTTATTACAATTTTTAATGCAATTTAATGTAATTTAATGCAATTTTATACAATCTTATGCAATTTAATAAAGATTATTATGATTTTTTATATGTAAGATTATTGTTAATTGGGACACATTTTGTTAAAAAAAAACAACTTAACAATGTTTATATACGTTGGTGAATGTTTGTTAATGGTTGGTCCTTGACATTTGTGGACTGTGTGTTACCTAAAAATAGGTATGGTTTTATTTCATTGAAACATTTCTGTACGAGTATTCTTCAATAATTCGGTAATACAAATTGTAAACAATGACGAGAAATGTGGATTTTATGTAACGTATGGAATATTCTATAGGGCTTCTGGAATACTTATGGAATACCTATAAAAAGGGATTTGTTCCCACTTTCGAAAATCCGTTGCAGAATTCAACGAAGTTTAGAAAATTCAGAAATCTTCTAAAAAATAAAAGAATAGTTGAATTAAAATGTCTGAAAGAATTCAAACCAATAATAACATGATTACTGATTCTGTTACAGATTCTGTAGTAGTCGCTGAACCTTCGACATTAGACAAAGAAATAAGGATTAATGTTCCGTTTCCTCCGAGAATTAACCCTCGTGATTTGATAACTTTGCTTCCTGATGGAAATGTTCCGACAAGAACTCCTAATGCTTTTATAATTTATCGTAAAGCACTAATTGAAGCTATACGAGCCGAAGGTCATAATTTACCAATGTCCTCAATATCTTCTATTGCCTCTAAACAATGGTATAAAGAACCCGAATGCGTGAAATCTGAATACAAAAGACTTGCCATTGAAGCTCTTAATTATAGTAATACGATTATTAAATCTTGTTCTATATCTCGTCGTAGAAAGAATGAAAGATGGAACACTATTACTTTCAATAATAACAGCATGACTTCCCGTAAAGATCCTAAAAGGCCCAAAAAATTATCAAAAAGTTTAAAAATCCAATCACCTTCCAGAACTGATATTACACCTACACCTGAAAATTTATCACCAACCAGTACAATTAGTACAATTAGTGATATCATTAATGATAATATTAACGACAATCATAATAATATTAACGACAATCATAATCATATTAACGATAATAATATTAATGATACCATTAATAATGAACATGTCCTAATCCCGACTAATAATAACATGATTGATAATATTATTGGTAACTTAAACGATACAAATGAACCATTATCACCGTTGTCCGCCGATTCTATTGATAATATTATCGGTAGCTTAAACGATATAAATGAAACATTATCACCGTTATCCGTTAATTCTATTGATTCTGTTGATCATTCTAATTGGGATGAATATTATCATCAAAGCCCTGAAATTGCTTCGATCTCAAATAATAATGACGGTTTACTCGAAAGTTTCCTCTTCAGCCAGAATTTTCCAACCTCTCTTATTAATAATCAACCAATTTTAACTGAAGTACAACAGCAAAATATTTGGATAGGAAATGATTTCAATAACATTCCTTATTATTATGATACGAATCCAACAAGTCAATTTGATAAAAATATAAACGATGGCTTTTTTACCCTTCCCGAATTTCCTTACGGCATTGATACTGGAAAGTTGTGTTTGGATACCTTGAAGAATTACAACATTCCAATTTACCCTTAAATCTTTTTTTATCTTTAAAGAAATGTCTATTAGTTATTAGTTATTGTAAATTAATCATCCTAATTTTTTCATAATCATCAAAATCTTGCATGTAAATAATTGTAAAAAAAAACAAAAAAAAACAAACATCTGATTCAAAGTAGTAGTAATAATAGATATTTCATATATTTTTTTTTCTTTCTTTTTCTTTCTTTTTTAATTATATTTATCATAATATCATCCCCTTCATAGTAGCAAAACTTTAAAAAGCACACAAAAAAAAAAAAAAAACGAAAAAAAACAAAAAATTCTTTTTTAGGACTCTTCAAAAAAACGTACAAAAACAAAAAAAAATATTCTTTTTTAGAACTATTTAAAACTTCAATAAAAATTTATTTTCTAATTAGTTTTGTTTTATCAGTTAACAAAATTTTTCGCATGAAATATTTTTTATTGGCAGTTTCTTACAGTCATACAGTCTTAAGTTTTGCGCTAGTTCGAGGCATGGATAAAAAATTAGGCATGCCTTGAGTTGAAACATGCCGCTCGTGCCTATAGGCATGCCTTGAGTTGAGGCATGCCTTTTTATATAAACTTAACCAAAAGATTCTTTCTCGTCTCTGGTATCTACACACTATGCTGGCCATTCAGATACGACATATATCACATGACCAAGGCATGCCCAATGGTCAAGTGGCCTGATTTTGATTTTTGGGCATTTTTGGACTAAAAGTCACACGAATTTTTTTTGCTCTTAACGTTAAGTGTTACGTCGAAAAACTAAAAACGAAGCTTTTAGCATATAGACAAGATAAAAAAACACAAAAAATTGAACAATAGCTATACAAATATATTCGGGTATTTTAGGATTGGGCAAATTCGGAAGCAAAATTTCAATAACGATAATGGTTTGGCTTTTAAAATCTCAATTTAATTAATTAACAAAAAAACTTTTTATAAAATATTAATATTATTATATTTAATTTAATATAAACTAATAGAAAATAAATTTGGATTTTGCAGTTTAGCAATTAACCTCCAAATTCTATAAAATTTGGATTTGAATAAAAAAAAATACTTTGTAATTTTAGTAATTAAATATAAAGTTTTGCAAAAATTTTAATATAAAAATTTAAAATTTGTAAAAAATAATAATAATAATTTACTAGATATATAATAAAATATTTTAATACAAATTTAAAACTCTATTAAAATAAAATATATTTTATTTTAATAAAATTTTATTTTAAAAATAAAAATTGGTAAGTTGTTTAAATTAATAAAGATATTAAGAATTAGAAAATTCAAATAAAAAAAATAAATTTAGTTTAAATATATATAGCAAATATAGTAAATATAATCTATTTTTGCCAATAAATTTAACCAATTTCAAAATACTAATTTTGTTTTACAAAAAAAAAACCAATAAATAAAAGATCTCTATAAAATTTATACAGTATTAAAATTATTTAAATTAAATTTTTAATAGTTTAAATTTTGTAAATTTATTTTTAATAATATAATTTAATAATTATCTAAGCAATTTGATCACTTGCACTTACATTTAAATAAACAATTTGATCATTTATATACTAATTTTAACTGTTTTATATGTTAAATTTTTTTGCTACTTTATATATTATGCTAAATTAATAATTTAAACAACTTTATAATAAATCTTAATTAAATACTTTGTAAAAATTTAAATAATCTAGGTTTGGTGTAAATTATTATTAAAAATTTAGATCACCTTTTCATAGTAAATCGCAAATTTAGATTTTAATATTTTCTTACTATAACTAAAATTAATGTTCAGGCTTCTGATTTTGAATCAAATTAGTGACATATTTGCTTTGAAATAAGTGATTTATTTTATATGACGATAAAAATACATCTACCGTATTCTATCAAAAATAAGCACCCACATTGATCATAGTAGCGGGTGCTTATTTATGATAGGATCATTGCTATCTAAAATTTCATCAAAATTTTATCTCACGATACTCCGCCAATCAAACTACGGTAATAAATACAAAGAAGTCACGGGGTGCTCAATAATTTTAGTTATATGGGATGCTTATTTATGATAGGATACGGTATTCGTTTTCTGATTTCGGAATTTCAAAACAGAAATGAAATTTTTTAAACTCCCACTTATTTTCGAAATACAGTATGTTAATTTTGAATCACCCTAATAGATAAATTTTTTGGAAAAATACGAAAAAACTATTATTAATCTAACGAATCATTTATTAGCCCTAGCGAGAAATTAGAGATCTCTATTTTAAAAATATAAACTCTACCAAAAATTCACATATGGGGTCTTTGCCTTGAAAATGACCTTACGGGGTTATGTAGATTTTATGAATATAAATTAAAATTTAAAATTTCTAGCTGTCCAGTAATCCAATTCAAATAAACTTTTTTTATTTTGTAGGGCTTAGTGATTTCTGCAAAATAAAAAAAAATTATTTGAATTGGATTATTAGATGGCTAGAAATTTTAATTTTTATTCATAAAATCTACATAGTCCCGTAATGTCATTTTCAAGGCAAAGACCCCATATACTCTTTTATTATCAATTCTAACTCTAATAAACTAACTATTTAAAAAAAAAATTCACTAAAAAAAATTATGAAAATTTTTAGCTTTAGCCGTACAATTAATTCTTGTATTCTTTAAAAATTATAGATATTTTTAAATAATCTGACCTCTTTTATTTCAGTATTTCACATTCACCAACTCTCTTAATAGTCAAACGGGGAATAGGGAATAGTATATATTATTTCATTTATTTATTGTTGTTATACATGATTAGATTTTCTCTAAAAATATTTTGTAAAAACATATTTAGAAAATAATAAAAATTGACAAACTGCTATAACGAAGTATTAGACCCCTATCAGAAACAATACTCAATTTTTTTAACCCTATCGAGATCAGTACTGTACTGCCGAATATTTTTACGTAGCTTAAGTCTTCTGCTTCACATTATTTTCTACGTTGTTAAGTCTAATTTCTTTGTGTGATCAAGGCAAATTCTGTAATCCTGTGAATTGTGATTTAATTTGTGTAGGGTCTGCACGGGTCTAGCCGACAGCTTTTATGATAAAAGTTTATCGTTATAAGACCATAAAGTTTGGGGTACAAGAAATTCTTGATTTATTTATAGACGAACAAAGGTCACACATGTTGAATTCAATTCGTCAAGTTAAATTAACAAGTTTTCTGATTGGCTGTCATTCTATTTTTAGAGCGTTATATCTTCGAATAATTGATTTTTTCAAATCTAAAAATAGGAATGGGAAAGTTCTCGACTAATTATGATCGGTCATAAGGAAATTGCCGAATTTTGAATTGATTTTATCTTTATAAGCTATTGATTAAAATTGTTCATATGTAAGATCTTATCACATTTATTTATAAGATAAAACAAATTATCTTCTGTCATAATCGTCAGAATTTTTAGATAAGGTATTTTGATCTATCTTATAATATGACCAAAACTTACTTCTGAGCAACTTTATTTAATAAGTATAGAAACGCACCATATTTTTTTAATGAAATTTTTTTAGAATCTTCAAACAAAAATAACAGCAAAAACTTAACCAAACTTAGTAAAATTTTTTTTAAATAAATTCTACAAGTTTTTAGAATTGGTTTTAAAAAAAAATTTATAATTGTTTAAGTTGTTGGGTTAATTTTGCTTAAAGTTTTAAAAAAATTTACTTGGAAAAAATATGGTGCGTTTCTACTGACTCACCCCCAATTGTCGAATGAGCACGTGCCGCTTGGCGGCACGTGTAGCCAATCATTTGTCAAATTACCGTATTCGACAATTTGCCCAATAATGGCAATTTATGATCATAATTTGAATACTGGAATAATTTCTTGTTATCTGGCGATTATGACGTATACACTTATGGAAAGAATTTTA